TTAGTTACTATTGCCGTACTTCTACATTATGTTCAGATTCGTTTATTTCTTGGTTCTTTCCCTAAGGTCTTGGCTTTTTTTGGATACAGTCCAAAACATTTCTCTTCCTTTCTTATTGTTAGAACATTCTTTTATAGTTGTGCGGTAACTAAGCGCCTATATGTATTGCTAACGTGGCAATCTCTCAAAAGCCGTCGACCGCAATTTCCAGTACGCAAAATTCTTGCCATGGGGAAAACCTGAATTATTTGTCAGCTTTCCATTCAAGCCCTACCTCATCTCCTCCAGCATCTGTTCCAGTTCATTAATCCCCCACTCATTTACCCTACCTGCTATTACCACAAGGATGGCTCGCCAGTGTCTTTCCTGTGACGTACTAAGCTTCTCTGCCTGAATTAGTGCTCTAGAGCTTGCTCCAATCATCACCCACCTCTTTGGTTTATTCGCATCCACTAGTTTCTTTATCTCCGAACATTTCACGCGTGTCCCTCATGCCATACGCCTTAATGCCCTTAAAACCGCCTTATTTCCATCATTTTTATTTTCCAAGGGGTCACCGAACCCGTATTTCATTCTTCATTCCTCTGTAACCCGCTTTATGAGTACGGATCGTAGCTGACCAGCTTTGATTAGGATGTCAAATATCAATTTTAGCCTGTTTCTTTGCAATGGATGTCAGAGGACAAGTGACGCGCTTCGTGAGTCTTAGATTTCGCTGGTGTAGTCGTTTTTTCTAACTTCAGTAGTGACATCCTCAAACTGAATATATACCTAGATTTAGGTGCAATTTTTATCGTCCCTAGAGCATGACTTGTCTGCACTGCTATCGACAACCTTTCTCATGTTTTGGTTAGATTATGGAAGTTCAAATCAGAAGTTATGGTAGATAGACGGTATTTAGTTATTAGACATCGTGTATGTGCTTGTTCGGGTTACGGAATAACTCTTGATTCAACTCATTTGTTTACTTTCTATGATGTCATAATGTACCTACTAACGAAACACCAGACTCAGTAGCAAACTAACAGACATTTGTACCTCGTCAACGATACGTATATTTCTTCTTTGGTTGAGAACCTATCTTATAGTACTAATTCCGAGGGCGATTTTTGTGCGTGTGAGGCTTGCTTGCACAGCTTACCGTGTATTTTTTTCAAGGTTGTTTTCTTCACCGTGTGACTATCGGTCGATTGCTTCGTTTTTATTTTGCATTGTTTGTTTGTGCTATCGTATTTCATCTGACTTATGGAAATGGCCTCATTCACTATTTCTTTCGTTTTAATTTGTAGGAATCCCTGAGCTGCTCGAAATCGTGGGCAACGAATGTCTAAGCGATTTGATAGCTGTATCCAATCCACCCAGTGATCAGGAAGACATTGCTAGTGTTGCAGTTAAGGCAGCCTACGAAAGATTGATGCTGTCCGATTCCGACAAGGTAGCTCCACTGGTTCTTTTTGATCTCTTTTAGCGTACACTTATCTGTTTGGAGTGACCAAAATTATTCCCGGGACCTCGAGCAGTCAGCTTGGACTATTAGTCGGCATCATTTCAACATGGGATTTCGATTTCTTCTTACTCTTTGTGCACTATATATTGGTGTGCCGTCTTTCCTCTCTCCCGTATACCGAAAATATCTACGCTTGTGTGTGTTTTAAGTGCCTCGTTCAAAGATTTATTCATGATCGGGGCGAAAAAAACCTTGTAGCACAGGTTGGACCTACTCAGGAATAGCCGAACTTGTATGCCTTGGAAAACAGTACTGTGGGCACAGTGCACCGCATCGTTGCGTTTGTTTGACTGGTTCCTTTCTTATAACTTAGGACTTTGAAGCAATCAGTCGGCTTTGCAAATCCTGGAGTGACATCCTGGTGTAGTTTCGCATCAGTCGGCTGCAAATGATCTACCCGTTACGGTTGCCTTATGAGTAGCGCTTTTCTGTCAAGAAAATATACTACGATGTATAGTGCGAACTTAAGCATGAGGCGGCCTTTGTGCAGCATATCTGGCTGAATAAAATGACATGAAAGATAAGTGGGAGATCCAGTTGGGATTCATTAGAATCCCCTTTTAACATCAATATAACTTGCAAATGAGTGTAGTTCGCCAGTGGCGTACGATTTGGTGTACAAGTAGAACAAGTGGTCGGCGGAAACTCGGGAACTGCGACCAGCTGATGAGATATAAGAAGGACTGTCGAAGGGGTTTCAGCAGCTACATGGGTTGTGTGTCTAATCTGGAACAAGTATAGCCCTTAAATTCATTCAGTTAACTCCTCCAGCCATTTCGTTACCCCAGCGCTGAATGCAAGACCATCCACAATCACAAAATTCAGAATTTCATGCCTTGGAAATCCTGACCGCCAGCACGCTGCATATTCTGCTTGTAGACCCCAGGGTCTTCACTACATAAGCTCATTTGCAATTTGTATCCAAGACAAAACAGTAAACCACTTGACTTCGAGGTCACCAACTTCGCTTGTTCATATAAGCTGTCTGAACTCAATGGTTTAGCTGTTTTGTCCAACGCATATTCGGAGGTACTGTCATGCACGGAATTGAATGTGAACATTACTCTCAGGGGGATTTATCCAAACTGTGTCTTGTGTCCATTTGAAAACAAAGAGTATTGAGTAATCTAAGACATCCTTGGTGGGGGTGGGTGTTTTACGCGTGATATGACTCTACCTTTACTAGTTGCCGAAGACATATTCGTTGTTGGTACACTAGTGGATTTCCTTGTTCTACACAGATTCTCCGGGTCCTGATGCCAGTTTCAGTCCACTCTTCCTTGCGTTTTCAGGTGTCTGCTCTAGTTAACCGGCTACAAGCTCGACTTTCGGAGGACAATCCAGATTTAGAGATTATTCTCCCCCAAGATCATCCGATCAACTTATCGTCAGTGTTCCAAGTCTATCTTCGCTTGGCACAAGAGTTTCCCGGTGATGTGGGCTGTTTTAGTCTATTCTTCCTTAACTATATCAAACTGGAACCTGGACAAGCCGTCTACCTGGAGGTTGGTAATGGTTGGTTCACCGTCCACCTTTTTGAAGCTCATTTGTGATAACCAGACATCATTTTTCGAAGAAAAGGAAGACAGAGGTATTCAGGCAAAATACCGGAAATATATAGGAATATTAGTAGCTTGGGTGCGATCATTGATCGTTGATCAGCTCACTGTTGATTTGTTCGCTGAGCTTGATATTTGGCTTGCAAACTAACCGAATCGACAACAGTGCGCGTTTGGGTTGGTTATCCCTCCTGGCTTGCTTGCTTTTATGTGAATTTAAAAGGAGTGAAAAAAAACTCGAAAAGGCAAGGAGAAGTTGCCCACCCAACCACTAACTGATAATTTCACTTTAACGAAAGCTTGGTGAACACCTCAAAAGCCGACAGGTCAACCACCAAGACTAAATACCATTTACGCGAAATTTATGTTACGCTATTGTATGCTAGGTGATACAGTCGTGGGCCAAAAACACGCCACGACTGCTACAGATTCAGGTTAACTCAGTGACTGACTACAAAAGGTTATATGTTGCCCGTGCGTGTCGCCACAGGTCTCAATCACCCAGCCAACGATACTATCTCCAATAGAGGTTTACCTTGAACTGAAGAAATCTTCCTGAACAAAGCCGGCGAGCCGGAGATCGTCCCCCCATTGATGTTAAAATACGGTGCCTTGAAAAGTCTCTGTTGGACTGTGTCAGTCGTTCAGTCACACTTTAGAAGTATCCTGTTTTGACAGGGAATATAGGATTTCTATAACAAATTCACTATTCAAAGCTCGTCAGTCTGGCTATCCACCAAAATGCCGTCTAAATCCATGCACTTCTGCTCTGTTCAAAGTGCTAGGGGGATTACTTTCTGGTACTACAAAGCCTTCGCTGAACAGCTGGTCGATCAACCTGAGTTTGAGGGGCTGAATCAACCGACACTAAGCAATCATCAACGTGAAAATTCTTCCAATACTCTGATCGTGTTCCTATCAAATGATTTGCAGTTTTCCTAGACCGTTTGTCTCGAAGCAAACGCAGGACAGAATGATGCAGACGTAGCTCCAAATGGGTGAACATTAAGCTCGTAGGCCTTCGGCGTCCAAATTACCGTCGACTTGCCATAGAGAAACTATTGGTGGCTTATCTTCTGACTTGCAAGAACATTCCTTCAATGTCTGCAGACAACGCAACCCCGTCCAAACGAAATCGTGACAAAACTCCAGTGATGTCGCTCGTCAAATCTGGTCCAGAATACGTGCAGTCGTTCAGCGGTAGTATTTGCAGACTTCGCCGCAAAATCAAACACCATTCTCACCTTCCTCGGTTTGTGTGGATTAAGGACAGGCCGGTGAAGAAGGAGTTGGCGTCCCTCAAGCTGTTCATTTGGTTCTCTCTTAATGTAACCCCTGGCTTCGTATTCTGATTTGACGTCTGTGTACAATCATAAAAGATTTGGGTCCTCTGGCAGACGGAGCTGTGAAAGTACCTTAGTCGATTTTTGATTGTGTGCTCGTTTTCAGGTAAGCCATGCCAGTCCCGTTTCCACAAGAGTCGAACTCGATAGCAACCATCAGAGAGGCTCACTGATTGCTTGTCTTCAATCGATATAGACACATCAGCTTTGAATCTTTGGTCATTAAACTCAAGTGAAAACAAATGTAGCACGCCACCTTCTATTGTCCCCTGTGCGTTTATGGAGTTTATTTTGGCAGTTTTACCACTGCCAGTAACCGATGGACCAAAGGTGACCCAACTGAATGCTGTTAGTGATGCATATGGTTATTTCCTGGTCCAGATACGCTGTTCGATCATCCAGTGTGCTTCTGGCATCTTAGTACCTATCAGAATAAGTTTGATCGGGAGAAAGGTGGTACACGGGTAACACTCGCGATTCAGACGTTACGTATACATAGTGTCATCAGTAGAGAAAAGCGATCAAAAATGGTACGTATAGATTATACTAAAGTGTCACTTCCACGATACCCTAGTTTTGATGTTTAGTCAGGTTGTGTCTTTCCCGCGCTTGTTACGGATGCCGCAAGATAAAATTTGCCAGTGGCATCATTCCTGTCTGTTTCTGTCATGTGATCTGATCGAGCAACCGAAATATGGGCACAATTACTCTACCTCCTCGTGAGGGACCTCGCATCGGACGTCCTGCTGCACTCAAAGCTGAGTAGTGATAACAGAATAGTCGGTGTTACATACATTCCTTAGCCAAAATCATTGAATTATACGCCCTAAAGGGATCGCCATTACTGAACCAAATGACGAGCGAAACGGAACGTACCTTTGAGGTGATATAGGTGGGAGTTGTTAAACTTGTTCCCTTCATCTGTGTACGCGCACACAAATAAGTGCCCCTTAAAGTTGGAACCTACCACAATAAGTTTGACTTTCTCTTTCATCGAAACCAGTTACGTTACGATTGCTGAAATATAGAAAATGATATCAGAGATGTCAGTTCTCTTCATGTATGAATCCAATAAAAGTGAATAATCGCCGTTCCTTCTTAGCGGTACTATCCAAGATGTTAGCGAATGAACAAGCAGTGTGGTCGTATGATTGCTACTCATGTTCATTGTGGATAGTGGAACTGGAAAGTATGGAGGTGTGATAAACGTCGTTTTAGAACTACAGCTCATAGCTTGATGTCACCTAATCCGCGATGAGACAGTTGGAAAACAAATGTTCGGTCGTGCGGTTCCATGCCCCATATATTGAGCATGGTCAGCGATCGTCCCAGTGTGACGAAACATGAATTGTGGTTAACTTTTTTTCCCTGCAAATAGGTATGAAGACGGTGACAAGAAGTCTGAGTACTCTCAAAATGGGCTCCACGTGATCCAATGTGTGCTTGACAGAATGTGTTCGCCAGTCGACTTCACTGGCATTGTTACTGTCAATTTCTAACCAGCTTGAGCGAGTGTGACGTCTTCGTGTCTCGGAATGCTTCTACCCGAGTAACATTGTGTCCTTTCTGTCAGCTCTTTTGCTCTTTTTTCCCACAACTAGCCTACCAAATGAATTATCATTTTGCGATAGTGGAACATCAACTTTGAACAACCATGCTATTCTGTCGATGACGATTATTCATGTCATACTCAGATATACAATAGGGTGTTCAGTCCCAGGAATGAAGCCAAAAAAGCTGCATATCAATTGAAATAGCATCTTTCAAAATCATCATTCGGATCCTACCTGGACAGCTTAAAACTTTTACTGGACCATTGCGGACTAAAAATACGGGACCGTCCTGAGATAAAAAAGGTTTGTTTGTTCACCCAGCAATGCTCTATGTGAATGGATTTAACCACTCATAATGGTATAATCTGATGTATGATTCAAAACAGTTATAGCCGTTCGGCGCTCTTTTTAAAAAGAATTTGCACGCATCTATGGTTAACTTCACGAAGTTGTCCGGAAATATCTGATCTTATAAAGCCACTTCAGTATGGACATTTGGGGGCATCCGGTCAGTCTTACCCGGTTCATATTTCAACCGGATGCCCTTCTGCACTTAAAACAGCTCCGAAGAATGTCGGTACTCTCATGTTCACAAGCCGTTAAGGTTAATTTGTTCTGAATCATTTGAAATAAGAGTATCTTAATTGATCTGCATCCCGATGAGTGCCACTTTCCATTCACGCTTTATTAGTTCATTGGTTCGCTGCACCTGACTGTTTATTCAGTACTATGCATCAACTGCAGCCAGGCTTTATGGATCGTTGGGGTCATTTTTTCACTACATTCAGGCTAATCTTTATTGTTGTTGCGTTTGAGAATAGTGTCATCTGGCAACTGATTCAAACGACACAATCACCTCGAAAGTCACCTGTGTTCTTTCAGGTGATTTGCATTAGACTGTTATGTGTCTCTCTTTTTCAAGCCCAACTTGCCGCATGCCTACCTATCCGGTGACTGCATTGAATGTATGGCCTGTTCGGACAACGTTGTCCGGGCTGGTTTAACTCCGAAATTCAAAGACGTCGAATGCCTGCTTGGAATGCTCCAATACGACCCACGCTCCGTTAGTGACTTAATATTTCCTGGGACACCAAGGTTGATTGAAGGCCCCACGGACGACACATTATCGGAGTCACCTCGGGCTCAGATCATTAGTTTCACCCCACCGGTTGAGGATTTTGCAGTTGACAAAATTGTGGTATGTCCATTGTTCATCTGAATCGCGTGTTAATTTGTCTGGTGGGTTTTTCCTCGACATGAATGTTGTTACTTTGAGATAGCCAATGACATAAACCGTTTCAGATGTATGCTATCCCTGACTGACAGTGATCCAGTTGTTTATAGTTGTTTCGGTGTATTCTGTCACTCAGCTGTAACTGCACTTCGACCCGAATGGTTAGTATTCGATATCCATGCACACGTACTTCCTAAACGTTACCCGTGCCAGGGAAGAATGTTCATTCTGAGTCGTTTGATCCCACCTTTTTATTCGTATCCTCGAGGAATCACACCTCACTAACAGACGGAGAGGCCTTGGGACAAACGTGCTCGTATCTGTTCTTTATATTATAGCTGTCCCCTCCGCGCACTTGACCGTGCTTTGGTCCTCCTCAAACCCTTTTGGACCAACGTGCATAGAGCTATCCTATCACTGTCGCTTGACGTAAGCACTATGCGGGAATCGGTGGGAAAATATCACACACCATTGCAGATGAGTTTCACGTGCCTCAGATCACCATTCCCTCACTTTCCACAAATTACACGAACTCTATTTTCGCGATCGCAACATTGTAGGAAAATAGACTGGAGATACGGCTTTCCGCTCAATCTGTTCTATAGCTCCCCATTGTGGGTGTTCGCGACAGTTCTCATTTGTTGTTCTTAGTTGCAAAACATTTCTCTCGATTTGAAAATAACCCATTACTTTGAGCTTGTTTTAATGTTTAACTTATACTGTCTCTGATATTCATCAATAGTCGCCTCTTAGCGCTAATTCAGTCAACTCTTCATGGATCTGCTATAGCATTATTATGTAAATGATGAGTTGTTTGTTCGTCGAGCGGCTAACTGCTCACTTCGCTTTCAGTATTCAAGCTTTCCATTCTTAACACCACCTTCATCCATAACTTTATACTGTTCACTTGCAATTTTCCGCGATTTTTCGGGGGACGACTTTGTCGCTATCAGGAGCTGTGGTAGAACGCTACCATACTTTGGCAAAAGATCTACTTTTCCTAATAGACTGGCATATTAACTCCCTGGTGTGTTGTTTTAGTACATCGCTTTGGCTGCATGTACTACTGATTTACACGCGTGCTCCATAGTTCTAAATCTGTAACGTCTTGTATACATAATTATTTGGGTTCTTCGGAAACTCCTTTACAGCGTTCGTTTGCTGATTTGTCAGTGAATGCGAAGAAAGATCTGCTTTCAAGTTATTTTTGGCTTTTCAGTGAAATGTTGTTGGTATTGGTGTCCGATGACCAGTACGCGGAAACTTCAAGGCAACAACTGGAAGTCGTCTCAACCAAGACCCCAGAATGAGTTATGTCGGGGTATGTTGGGTGTGTGATCGATTTTTTCATCGGTGTGTGCTGCAACGGGAGTGAGAATGATGGTGGCCTGACAAGTATTTGGTTGAGGCCCTGAAAGTGATATAGCATTAACAACTGGACGAGCAGGCTTTAGATGTGTGGCTGAGGCATAATAGTGGGGAAAAGATTATTTTGAGCGACCCATCCATATTCATCTGTTTCAATGTTGTCGCCGGTATTTCTCTGACGCTCACTATACTTGACTATTAGGCCACGATAATGCTGGTAGAACACAACTTATAAGGTTAATGAAAACTCCCTGACTCACTCCGCCCTTTTTGGGACACGTTGGGCACAGTCCTCGGGTTCCCATCAACCTTATGTTCTACTTGAGCCCTGAATTTACGCGATTCACGAAGCACACGCATTTGGAAACTAAAATGAGGCACTCGACTGCATCCCGGCTAAATCTTTCGTTCGTGATGTTTTTTTCAACTGAATATGTTGCACAAAGGCCGCTTCCTGTTTCATTCGGGATAATCACGGCATATTTTCCTGAAGGAACTCCAAGAAGGATGAAACCAGTCATGGGCTATCAAAAGGTTCCCAAAAATCCCTTGGGTAGTGTTACGTCAAGAAAATCTACTGCGATATCCAAAATTTTGTATCAACTAAAACAATAGACGGCCGCCTTTGTGTAGCACATTCAACTGAGGAATTTCGTAAACGAGAAGATTTAGCTGGGATTTAAATGCATCCCATTAAAACCAGCTTATAAATGAGCGTCTTTCGTGTACACTTAAATAACTTGCTGCTTCGATGCTCGCTCTCTGCTCAAAATGTGCATCTTCTCAATGACCTCCAAATAATTAGCAATTTCCCTTCGTTTACTCTCTCCTTTTCTTCGCAAAACCAGTTTGGTTTATCTGTTAGTCTGATTATATTTGTCACTTCCCCTTTCGTCATCGTCGGCTCATTTGGAAGACTCAAGTTTTCGTAGTGTCCATAAAATAAAGTCGATTGACTTCCTTATTAAAACACTTAGTCCGTTGCCTTCCCGGGTGACATCCATCGGGTAATCGTAAGGGGAAAATAGCCATGCTATTGTCCAACTACTTTCAAACCCGTGCGTAGTAATTTGCTTTTGACGAAACTTTCAAGCTTAGTTTTAATTCTGGCGGTGAAACACAAAATAAACGCAGTTCCCTTCTGAAATATATGAGTTTTGACTTACGATCTAATTCGTTTTAAGTGTCACCACTGTCCTATACCTTCATCCACACCAAATGCTTTTAACGAAAAGCCGTTAATGTTGGTTTGGAGCAAAGAACTACCAAGAATTCTTCCGCCTAACATTTTTCGATTTCATTTTCTACTGTCATCTTCACGCCCATGTGCACGTGAGATTTGTTTTGTGCTTTCCAAATATTGCGTGGTCTAGTCCGTTTCCGGAATATCGACGACTCCAATCATGTCCTCATTCTGATATTTTTCGATGGATATTATTACGTGGGATTCTATCCATTATTTACCTCTACCCGCACCTTCTTAATGAGTTCTGTGGAGGCCTTGTTTCATTTTTCACCGTGATGTTTGTCCGAATTCACAGACGTGAGGCAAATCTCATTCCAGCAGAAAATCGCTCCCATCGCTTGATTTCTGATAGAGTGCTAATTTTTGACGATTCCAGGAATGGTTGTCTATTGCAGTTAGTTCGGTGCAGCTCTCCATTACAAAGGACAGGACAAGTGGATACCGGGTGATGACGAATCTCTTTTCAAGCGTGTAGTTCATCGTCGTGCACTTCCCAATAACTGGACAACTTACATGCAATTTGGGTAAACCACTGACACGTGACGTATATAAGTGGAAACTACTCATCTGTACCACATCGTTTTCTTTCCGGAGGGTCTTTCCCGGTTGGTGTCGAACTTAAAATGGAAACTTCTTTGTTTGCTAGGCCCAACTGGACTGATTTATTAACGGTTTGATTCCCAAAAAGCTAACAGCTATTACATCCAACAAGACTGTTTACTTTGCGTATGGATAAACCTAATTGATGCTGCTTCAGCGAATGCACCCGATAGACATGTCAGATCTTTGACCGACCTCGTCGCGTTCGCAAAGCATTTGTGGGCAGAGTGGATTTCTGACCGTCTGTGTGTTTGTGTGCATTGGGCGCAGTGACTAAGTAGCCTGGTGTGTATTCGTGTGGCATTTTTAGTTTCGGAACGAAATGTCGCTGATTGTTGTTTGATGTATAAACTGTCCGATTTATTTTTTAGTAGTGTGACACTTCACTTCGCGTCCTCCGTCCTAGAGTTATTTTCATAGAACATCATCGTTTGACGTAAGACGTAATTGTCTTTTTGGCGAATCGCGTTGATCCTGAAATTCTTGGTGACTTTGTGTCCGTTTCCACACTCGACCTTTTCCACGAAGATCCCACGATCAGTTCAAACACTGGAACTCCTACCAATTGCTTCTGCAAGTATCCTGCTTTTTGTCCATGGATCGGGGTTCCTTCAGAGATTACCTTGCAGTGATTCAGCTTCAAATCCTAGTGAAGTTGAATGCTTCTCCGACTCAGTGAGCTTACCCGCAAAACCAGTAGCCAGAGTACATGAAGTCATGTAAGTTATCAGTAACACTTCTAATATTTATTCTCCAGACAAGTTTCCATGCAATAACAACAGTCCCGTTTTTTGTCTTTTCGTTGTGAGTTTTTTACGATTAGTTTGGCACCATGTTTCCTGTCCGGTCTTTGTGATATGCTTGACAACAACATCAGGTGAGAACACTGGTGCTTTACTGCCATTGAAAGCTTATAAGCGGAATAGAAATAAATGTTTGAGGAAGATGGGCCTAGGGCTAGCCTACACAAACGTCCGAGGTGCCTGCGCTTCCAGCACTTAATCAAGCTGGGTAGAATCTGACAGCATGAACGCCACTGACACCGGTTGCCGCCACATCGTTCAGTATCTCTAGCCAAACCCAGAGAGCATCACGCGGAATCCACTCCGGAAGGTGAACAACAACACCCAAACTTCTGGTAACTTCCTCCATTCCCTTCTGCCAAGACAAATTATGTCCACCTCCAGATTTCTTCCACTCGGGATTAAGCACGGAGAACAGCGATCGTCTTGGCAGGCGGTAACTGAACATGCGTAACATATGTCCCAACTAAGCTTGCAATGCTGGATACACTCTTTGAAGGTAGTACTCTGCCCCACCACAAATCACTTCATTACGGATTCGCCGATTCCAACCATGGTTCTGGAACCTCATGGGTCGACGGTCTAAAGCTGTCTTCACGTGAAATGGGCAATTCTTGCTGAAATACAGAAGCGCGGCCCATCCTATAGTCTGATAAGCGCGTCCTGTGAGACCCAAAGGAATGTCTTTTTGACGACACAAGTGGCGTAAATTGGCCATCGCAATTGTGGCCTTTGAGACCCGTGCATTCACCTCGTCTGTCACATTACTGTGAAAGCTAATGCAACTTCAGAGATGCGCATACTGTTCCACGAACTCCAATGTCCTTCACTTCTCAGAGGCATGTCCGAAGACTGTCCTACTGCATGACTTTGCACTTCGTGGACACGAAGTACATATAAAAAGACTGGTTAACCTATGTTAGCTTTTCAGTTAGTCCTTACGCTTCCTGTGCATCTGCATACTCCAGTCCCATAAGGCTCTCGCTCAGAGCGACCTAAACACCAGAGTTTTGCAATCTTCTAGTGTTCGTCTGATCGTCTTATCAATGACGAAAATGAGAGTGGACATCCTCGTTGGATTCCACTGCTTCTTTTGCGATGCGCACCCGCCCGTCAGTGATGGTTGTTTAGATCACTGGACGCCTGACTATACTTCGGAAGTAGAAGCGGTTTGCGCGGAACCGGTTGTGCTGTTGTGGATGAGTGCATGGATTCCATGTAAACTCGAAGGAATGAGGTTGGTAAGCAAGCTCGCATTGATATATTGATGGCCCTCGACCAGCGTAAGCACTGCGGCATGTCGATGACCGCTAGCACCGTACTCAACAATGAGGTACTGGTGTCATTTCCTTTAGGTCCGTGGACTAATGAAACACAGTCGTCTTGACCAGGGAACATGTGCTTAAAACGTAGAGGAGTTGGTTTGGTCACTCTGCGGGTGTTTTTGCAAATAACACAGCAAACAGCGAAATTGTTTACCGACCCGACTGTGTATGAAACGTTGATGAACCACTAATATCACTGAGAGGTACACTGTTGCCAGAGTACATATATCACATCAATATGCAATTAAATTTTGGTTTATTGTTCACGATAACGCTGTAGGTGCACTCATGATGTTGCCCTAACTGGATAGCAGCAGTGAAGCATACGTGCTTGAACAAAGGTCTCCAGAGTTCTATCGGAGGTGCAGTCGTATCCGGTTGCATTGCAAGCATTTGTTATAATGTCACGCATCATAACTTTGAAAGGATTGCCAACATTAGACAGAGAAGTAACTTAGTCTGCTCCTAAAAGTTGAGTTGTTGCTTTATCTTAAGATGCGGTGTCGACTTGGTCATTTCTGGAGTGAAGGTGAACCTATTCGGCTACAAGTAATTTTCAGTTGATTAAATTTGGTGGAGTCCAAATGAAAGAAACCGCCGTTTTATTCCCCATCACGCCGGCACTGGTTACCACAAAAATAACTATGCTGGAAATGTTATTAGTACCCGCAGTTTAGTCCATCACTGTCTGCAATGTTGCCGAAACTACTGAGGACGCAGTAAAAACTAATTTAGCGCGAATAAGACGGTGGATTTCCCGGCTAAGTTTAGATGTTTCATGGGTAACTGTTCTCAAACCAGCTGGTGTACCGCGTCGAATGTTTGTTTCTCCCGGTCACTTGAATTCTTCAATACATGTTCCATTTGGGATGATACGTATGAATTCAAACAAACTTCCTCATTCATATTTGGAAAATGATGGCAATGTTAGATGAAAATAGTGAGGAAGCGTCGTTTTTTGTTGGAGTGGGGCCATGGAATAGGCCATGCTCTTCCGCTTGGAAATTTATTGTGTACTCACCGCCGGCCATCGTACTCCAGTGTGAACCGCGTTTTATTACATGGATAATCTCATAGTGTTTACACGCAGCACCAGTGCTTTTTTATATTTGAAGGAAAAGATAAGTCCTCTTGAATTCGTGTTTCCCAAGCATGTTAGACGGAATAAGAAATATTGTGTTGGTTTGGTTGTTGAGCTTAGTTGTAAACGTCTAGAAGGCATGCAAATCCTTCCGGTGATCTCAATGTTCGCTTCCATCCAGGAGGGGTAGCACATTCATCCGGATTTTTCTCCCGGAGACAACACGGAAGTAGCACAGTTACCAGTTTCCAAGGATGGTAATTTTTCTCAAAGTTGGATTATTCTGGAAGTTTATAATCGCCTTGAGTTGTCTTCTGGTAACAAATGGGGTGGTATCGTGACGTACACGAGGAGGGAACCCGAACCGATTTTCTATGAAGCATCGGTTATCCCATAATGTGCTTGTTGCCCGTCTGTCTCCCCTTCTGTCGTCATGTTAACTTATTTTGATCAGTCTTTTATGTACTTACTAGCTACTCCAACGGGTTAATTGTTTTTATTTCACTTCTTTAGGCCTGACATATATTGTGAATTTTCCAAAATGACTGGAGGGTCAATCATGTGTTTGTAAACAATGTTCATAATGTCGCTACTAACTACAGTGCTCCATTTGTCTCTCCCCCCCCCCGATCATTGTTTTTTTAATCTAACCTTGAAAGTAAACTTCAAGGAAAACCATGTGGTTAGTTTTTTAGGGAGACTGTGCGAGCTGGAAGGATTGTTTTTCACCAGATAATACCACGCTATAGAGGAACATAAATGTTCATATCTATTTGTTTATCTGCTATCAGCCTGATCCTTCAGCATATTGCGAGAACCTGACTGACAACTTCAACATCTGTGCCGACCCTTGTTACCCTCCTTGAACCATCCACATCGTACATAACTTGTTCTTCACTGCTTAAGTAGTTGCACGGGATAAAAGTGCGCGTATAAGGGAGAAAATAGTGCAGAAGTTCGAGGGCTTACGTGAGCAGTCAAATAAAATAAGATCAGTGTCCATCCAGGCCGTAAAATGCGAAAAGCCGTGAAGCAATGTGCAGTGGACGATCAAAATTGGGTTCCTGTAGGTCTGCTCTTGGCAAATTTAGCCGAGAACTTGTAGGCATGTCAGGCCTACTTACTGCGTTTACCGCCACATGTGAGCATGCAGTCATAGGTAACGTAGCATGGCACCAGAAGAACCGTACAAGGACATTCGGTCAGCGGAATCAGGTGAAACGTGTTGCCCTGAGTGTCTTCCGTTCATGATTCTCAGTCTACTGACATTCCCTGTAAGTGGACATCTATCCTGGTTACTAATTAACTTACAAGTTAACATGCAATTTACTAAGCCACTATCGAAGAAAGGCAACAAAATCAAGCTAATCGCGTGTACTTTGGTCTTGTGGAATTCGTTTGGACCACTGACGCGTGTCAAGTGGAAGGATCCCGCCTGACCAAGGCGCACACAATTCACAAATGTGAGTGGTCGCTTCTGTTCCTCACTGGTGACTAGCGGTGGTGTCCTTCGGGCTTCTATTTTTTCTTTTCCTGTCTTCGTCTGCTGATGACAGTGATACGCTGTAGCTGTAGCTGCAAACTCCTCAATGTTTTCAGTGTCCAGTTCCTCCGGAGGTGTAATGTGGATGTCATTCCATCAAGTAACCTCGACCACATCCAAGCATTTTTTAGCAGAGTCTGACGCTTTGTGTTTGAGGTCCTATGAAACTCAAGACGCGTTCTATCACCCTCAGTCTAATTCGCCACCTTGTTAGTGCTTGTATTGTTTTCCTACCCCTTTCTCCGGAGTTTTTGAGAAGGACTGCTGCTTTTCGTCGGCTCGCCTAAAACACTGAATGCAGCGGAATCTCGAGGAGTGTTCTGGCTGACACCACAATGGGCAACTTCATCCGATAACTCCCGGCGTTTTCCACCCTTTATTTTCCGATCTCTTAATAGACTCATTTTGTAGACCATCCCACTGTCTGGTGTCTCGCTTACTTGTGTGAAGCTTTCGTTGATGGATTTTTGAAAGATACATCGAATTCTGCTCGTCTCTACGTCTAATTTGTAGGCTGAGAAATTACCCAATAGTGCATAAAGATTAAGTTCACTTGGCCAATAGAAGGGGGTTAGAATACCTATCTGACTAGTGTCGGTAGTCATTTTGAAAATATTAGCTCATACTGAACACCTTCAACAGAAGCAGACGTGATTTGAAAAGGTATGCAGTCTTAAAGCACTCAGCTCAGGCTCAAATCTTTCACCGCTACTGTTCAATTATGGCAACATGAGTGCACTCTCAGTGTTATCGTGAGCTAGAACCCAAAATTTATTCTTACATTGATGTGGTATATTTACACTGTACCTCTCAGTGATATCAGTAGTTCACTGCCGTTTCATGCACAGTCTAGATGATATTCAACTTCACTCTTTTCTGTACAACAACATAAGCATATCAGCTCCTCTACGTTTTAACCACTTTCTACCTGGTCAAGTAGGCTGTATCTTATCACTCTACAGCTCAGGGTATGGTTCCACCAACGTTTGTGAGGGAATTTGAAAAAATGATGACGCTCGAAAACTGCTCGGGCTGAAATCGAACAAATTCGTCATTCCACTGTACTGTGACCGATGCATAGTTTTCATTTGTGAAACAGACTGGACTTCACTGGATGTGCATCATGTTCACTCTAGATCAGATTCCAATCTTGTAGATGCGCTACCTTTTCGGTAGAACGCTTCCAACTTTGCAGCACGGAACTTGATAGTTTTAATTGGAACTAATTTGGAATTCCCCGTGGTTTCTGTGGTGCAATATTTTGCCAGCCCATTTCACTCGCCTTATTGTCATTTTTCCTTTGGAGCCACTTGTTCAACTACGCGCACACAGTTTCGTGCTTTGGGCATGCTCTCTGACCGCCTCGTTACCATCAGGGTCAGCGACGATGTCGGGTCTGCTCTGGAATCCTCTGTCAACTAACACAACTCCAAGCTGTATCGTTCGTTATCTCGTCGCTGTATCCCTCCTGCTCCAGGTGTGGATTGAAACAACGACGAAACATGTTACGCGACTTGGGGATGAGTGCGCGCGACAATTCCTGACCAGTGAAACCCAAAACAACGTTTAAATGAGATTCGTAAAACCAGGACTCCATTTCGTATGACATCAAGTTAATGTTTTATCCGCAAGACGATGTGTTAACGCGGAACAGTTAAAAGTTATCAAGAACGTCTTAACAAAAAATTATCAGTAAAGTGCGCTTTACCCTATTAATTAAGTATGTCTGGTTCTAAAAATTCCAAGTTTGCAATCAGAACTAGATTAGTGCTAATAAATTGCCAGATTCCCGGTGTTTTTGGCATCGAAACAAATGCTAACACACCAGTAGGCCCACTGGCCCTATTTGCATGGATATGCTTCGGTGCAATGCATATGCCGTCAACGGATACTAAAGTCACTATTCAAGATTGCTCGGTGGTTACAACGTGGACTTACTGACAGGATAGTCTGTGATTCGAACTCAAGCTCAGCATCTCGGTCGCTCTTTTCTTAGCTTGGAGATTAATTAAGTATGTCTGGTTCTAAAAATTCCAAGTTTGCAATCAGAACTAGATTAGTGCTAATAAATTGCCAGATTCCCGGTGTTTTTGGCATCGAAACAAATGCTAACACACCAGTAGGCCCACTGGCCCTATTTGCATGGATATGCTTCGGTGCAATGCATATGCCGTCAACGGATACTAAAGTCACTATTCAAGATTGCTCGGTGGTTACAACGTGGACTTACTGACAGGATAGTCTGTGATTCGAACTCAAGCTCAGCATCTCGGTCGCTCTTTTCTTAGCTGAACCTACCTGGCGGTATCTCAGCCCCCGTGCTTCCTTCGGGTGGTAAGACAGCTAGGCACCTATCTATCTGAACTACTGTTATTTGTGTAGCGACCCAGTCACCCATATACTTGACTGTTCAACTCAATCGCTCACTGGATCGCGATGCTTGTCTATTTTCTCATACGCACAAACACGTCGCATTAAGCTGACACATCGGTCATCGATTGTCTGCAGCGCCTAGTCAACGTAGCAACCACTCATGTGCCGACGCGCCCACGTATACGCACTGGGACTTACGTAAAGGCAAACCGAACCCAGTTAAGACACGCAGACTCGTGCGCGCGCAGGGAACAGGTCGTCAACCTCTCCACAAGTCCACGGATAATCATGGAACACGTGTAGCAGCCAAACTGCGGAGAAAACACGTTATCGCCGTCCGGACTTTCACCAAGGAACTCTCACATACGATAAGTTCCTTTTTGCCTTGCTCCCATTTCGCATTGTATTCATTTTTATACATGTCGCAACCATGTTAAAAACTTCTATTAGTGCACATTCACCTTCTGATTTGTATTATGGCTATCATCACCTGTGCACTAATAATTGGTGAGCCCAACGTTTGTGAACTCACGTAACTCCTGACAATTATTCATTTGGACTCCCATATATTCATATTTCTACT